TATGTGTTTTGTAAAGACTGTATTTTCTCTGGTAGCTTACGTGTTTTCTTGATGTCTTTTGATGAGTAGAGGTTTTTAATTTTGGTAAAGTATAATTTATCCATTTTTTTCTTTTACAATTTTTGCTGACTGTGTCCTAAGAAACCTTTACCTACCCCCATGTCATGAAGATACTCTCCTCTGTTTCATTTTTAAAGCATTATGGTTATAGCTTTTATGTTTAGGCCTGTGATCCATCTTGAAATGATTTTTGTTTCCCTGGTATTTAAGATACAAAACAAAAAATTCTTACAGCAATTCTGTTTTGATTTGATGGTTTTAAAGTATAACTTGGCAGTCTTTGGTTTAAAATAAACTGATGGTGGTTACGTGACTCATTGGACTGAGGCAGGCATTCTGGTGATCTCAGTGGGGTTTTAACCAGGTGAGGGACAAACCAACCATCACTAACAGTTGGCCAGGTTAAGTCAGGTCTTTGTGGGGAGAAATACAGTTCAATTATTGGGACTAGAGAGTTTTTAAAAATAGCTGCTTATCCATTTTAAAGATGTTTTAGGTTAGTTGTTAGTTACTTAATTTTTGATATTAGTAGTACATGTGATATAGTTATCTTACATTTGTGTCACAAAAAGCTCTTTAAAATAATGTAACTGGAAGGATACCTGGAGGGCAGTAATTGAGAGTAACCATCCATGATGGGCAGATAGACAACTCCCAATTGGTTTGCAGAAAGATCTACTTGGATTTGTAGGTAGTTTTTTTTATGAGTCAAGCCAGTGTTTAGAGGAAAGTTCTCTGATTACATTTCATAAAAGATAAATGACTTAATTCCTTAAAGCTACAGAAAGAAATTAATTTTTAGATCATAAGAAATTTGAAGTACTTTGAAACAAAAATGTATTAAGAATATGTCATTATTTTATTTAATTAAAATTTGGCATATCCTTATTAACTTTGTCTTTTTAATCTTCCATAATGCTACAGTAAGTATGAATTCATTTGAACCCATGATGCAAAGATGTAAGTTAGCCAGAATGTTTCACTTTGGCCCCTAAAATGTGATCTATATATTGAAGATACCCATTTTCTTAGTAACTGGATAAAACTTAAAGAATCATTAATTTTAAGGTGTTAACCAAGAGAATGTTTAGAAAACACACTTTGAGCTTATGTCTATGGGACATATTCACAGACATTTGCTTAAGACCAAGAAAATAGTTTTTTTCCAAGGCTTGCTTTCTGTTTGTGATTCTAGCATGTAGCCTAAGTTGAATCAGATATGTTAACCACTTTTGATCTTTAGTAAAAAGATAAAAACAATTCACTGCAGACTTGACTTCTTTGACCACATCTGCTTGTTATTGATATTATCAGTAACCTTTCACCTACTTTACAAAAAAGGGAAGGGGGAAATCCATGAGTCAGACAGTTACAGGCAGGCCAGATGGTTCGAGATAAAATAGTTGGACAAAATACTTGAATCAAAGCCATCCCTAACTATTGAGCCATCACTGGGTCCTTGTTGGATACACGTCTCTGAGCTCTGCCATCCTCCCTCTGGGAAAGAGCACAGAGCACATTAAATAGAGCCTGCTGATGGCTTGTCACAGCTGGTGACCTTTGCTGTCACTGTTCCATTGTGCTGTTCTGGAGAGCATGAAGTGGTCACCAAAAAGCCAGTTTGTGGCCGGAGTTATTTTGGTAGGATGTGTTTCTTCACACTAACGGGCTCTAAGTTTCATCTAAGGAGGAACAATCAGACTTGTTCACCCTGTAACCCCAGTGCAGGACTTGGCACAGAGGGAGTGCACGGCAAATATTTGTTGACTTGAAATGAAAAGGTTGCTTTGTAGCCATGAAACTGAAAAATGCAGGCAGGGCCCTATCAGAAAGTTTGTGTCAATGGTAAGGAGGAGAGTTCTGCTTACAGGGTAATGATTGCAGTCCAGCCTAGAATGTGGAGTATGTGGCAAAGGCCACTTGTCCTCTGTCCCCCCCCCCTTTTTTTTTTTTTTTATTTTTTTTTTTTTTTTTTTTTT